CCGCGGCGGCCGTCGGTGGCGCCAGCTTATCGGTCCTCGATACGCACCCGCGAATGTATGTACCCCCGACTAATTAGTAATTGCCAGCCGGTTTACTATTTCTCATGAAAAGTGACCAAGAGAGACCGGGAGTTGCGGTGCGATTAGGCCCGACGTTCCCACGTCTATCGGCGGTATCGGAGACGATCTCGCCGAAACGCCTCTATCGAGCTATGAATAATGCAATGAGCGCAATTTATGCATATGCATGTGCACCGTAATAACGCGCGGGCGCACGCCAAGTACATTTGTACGCGATGACAGGGTGCAACGAGACTTCCCTGGTTGATTGCGATCGCGGACGAGCGCGCTCGTGCTTCTTACGTTTTCATTCCTGCTGGCGCCGTATCGATCGTGATCGATACCGACCTGATCGGCATCGGCGGGGATTATTAACCGAGGTGGTTGCATATTTTTCATTTATTTTACAAACGGACGAATCCGCGTTCAGTGCCCCGAGGATGCTTGGACTTGGCGCTTAACCTCTACCCTCGAATCGTGGCATTAAATGGAAATTTAGTATTAATGGAAAGTTATTTTCCATAGGTGGAAATATCGAGGGTTTAGATTTAAATTTTGGTGATTTCTCGTCAACGGAATCAGGGATCGAAAATTGGGCCTTAATGGGCCCTTGATAGGCTCTAAGGGGGCAGTCGTCGCATCGCAGGGCACGCCTTTCCCTCGACTCGTCGTGGGGGCGCCATTGTGGGCCGTCACGCAAATATCGGGGCCCGAGCGTCGCATCTGCTTGTCCTCCGTTGGGCCCTATGCAATCTTTTTAGACCCACCTAAGAGAAGGTGCTCGTTGAATTTCCCTCGCAGCTGCACCAAGTGCAGGGACCGTCAGATCACGAATCTGCATGTCAAACACGTAACAACGGCGTCCGAAAGTCAAGGCCCCGAAACTGGGCCTTACGCCGGGGCACGTAATAATTATCCCCTAATAACAGCATCGATCAGGTCGCTCGTTTTTCTCGGGCTGCAGGTTCTTAAAGGCGCGTCCCTCCTTTCGAGCGGTGCGCATCATTGTTTTCCTTTTCCACGCCTAATGGGGCCTTAATAATCGCGGGGCCCGATATGGCTGGGCGCGTTATCTGAAACGATTGGCATAAATTCCGGTCGGGACGATGGCGAGATAGGGCGCGCGCGGGGCCTTATCACCTCGCGAGGGTTAGACGCTCATTAAACCCGCTTGGGACCTCGGGTCCAGGCCTGAGGTAAGGCCCATAAAGGTTGCGAACCATATCGGGCCCAGGCGGCGGAAGATACGGGGAAACAAGACGTTTTCGCCGGCACGGGAAAGGCACATACTCGTACACTGACGCGCGCCGGCGAAAAAGGTGTAAACCCATTCTGCGGGCCCAGAGGACACGCGGGGCCCGTCGCCGAGTAAAGCCTTTAAGCGCCTGCCGGGGGCGGAGAGGGGCCCGACGCGGAGTGTGCTGCCAGAGAGAGAAAGAAAGGAGGGGAGAGAGAGAGGTTAGGGCACGAGGCGGTTCGGGGCCCGTGGAAGTCGAAACGGACCGGGAGGAAGCAGGGCCCCTCGAAGGCTACCGTGAGAACGAGGCGAGGCCTCGCGTCCCACACGGGCCCTTCAGCCGGCACGGGGCCCGACAGAGACGGAGAAGAGGGGAAACCCGGGCCCAAGAGAGAGAAGACGAGAGGAGCGCGCGCGGTCCGAGACAGAGGAGGGACAGGAGTCCGATAGAGCCCGCGAAAGAGAGAGGGCCCATAAGGCCCGGTAAGGCCCAACGAAGAAGGAGCTAGGCGCGAGCCCCACACGCGACTAGCACACGTCCTGGGCCCCGAGCCGCGAACACAAACCGCGTTTTTTCCCTCCCCCCCTCTCCCTCCCGCTCCCGGTTTCCCTCTTTCTCTCTCTAGAGCGCCACACTTGCCTGCCCCCTCCTCGAGCCTCTCGGGCCCCGTTCCTTCCTCCTCGTTTTCGCAGTTCTGCTCCCCCAGGCCCCCCGATGTCGGCGGGGGGCGGGATAAGGGCCCGATTCCGTGGATTCGGGAATTAGGCCCCACCACGCGCACCCACAATCAGGGGAAAAAATCCAGGAGAGGACACTCGGCCCCTTTTCCCCGATTCTCGAAATCAATTTGGGCATCACCAGGAGAGGGGGCCCGATTTCCAGAGGGGCCTTATTTTTGCATCAGCTGCTGATGGAGAATTGTTTAGATTTTTGATAAGGCCCATTTTCGAACTTTCTCGAGCCCAACCTCTCGATCGATTCAAGGCCCCGTTCATTCATTAAAGAGCCCCCCTCTCTCATAGTCCGGTCCATTGATCACTCTCCTCGGCAGGAAGTGGCTATGTGCTTATCGTGCCTTTCCAAATTCGTTATCGCGGCCCGAAAGTCGACACCGCCGACTTCCTGGGCCCTATCTCGGGGCCCATTGACACGTTTGAAGCCGCTTGATGGACCGGCGAGTAAAAGTCGTAAACATTCGCACGCCATGACGGAGAACTTGGCCCCTGAGCCCCATTAAACCGACTCATGGACATCGTACCTATCGGTATATTGGTGGCGATAAGCGCGGGCTCGATAAGCCGCGCACATAACCTCTTCTTCGGCGCGCCGGTGACATCACTAATTATTGTTTCTCTTCCCGGTAGTGCAAGGGACCGGAGCCGACTCGACTGCATCGCTCTCCCTCGAAAGTCACTCGACACTTGTGGGACGTGCGGCGCTGGTTCGAGTCAACTGGAGAACACGGATCACCGACAAAGAGAGGTCGCCAACAAAACGCCCATTCCTCCGAGGGGAATGCGAGGTGGGTATCGGTAGCACTTTCCTTCCCGGAAAAAAATGGAGAAACTGGAATCTCGGAAACGCATCTTGGCGGCGCGCCAGGGACGGGCCGGTGACGTCACTGGTACCACTCGCGTCCTTCGTGAGAGGAATATCTAGTATCGGTTGATTTGATCGAACTCTTCGCCCATTCCTCGTCCCTGAATTTTTTTTATGACTAATATGAACCTCCCTTAGGCACCCAGGACTCCATTTTGCCTGAAAAAAGAACGAAACGCTGGCAGCAATTTTCGCGAGCAGGACGTCCTTATGTTTTATGTAACCACGGATGCTGGAGGCAACTGCAGATTTATGCGTTCTGTAACGCCTCGGTTGCACCCCGAGAAGTACCGGCACTCGAGGAAGGCTCGAAAGATGATTCCAAGGCACCAACCACGATGGCCGAAGTCTTGTAGGAAGGTTTTTTATCTCCGATTTTTGAGAGCGACCTCTTCTTGTATCGGACAAATGGCGGCGGAAAGATAGCGGCCCTCGAGGACCACTCGAGAGCTTTCATCCGAGGTTTTCCGCCTCCAAGATGAGGAACTTGTCAAAGCAAGACCTGGATTCAAGGGTAGGACTAATTTTTAACGAGAGTCTCTGGACAATTCTTAATATAAAACCTGCGAGCCCGGAAAAGCGCGGAAATAAGGTTTCTTCGAGTTCTTGGAAGATGGCCGCCATCTTGGCAAGTTGCGAGAACTCATAAAGGTGCTCCTTGCATCGTTACGTTACCATGAGCCTGGCCAGTCGGAGTAATGGGTAGATGGTCACCGGTACCATAAACTTAAGGGTTATTAAGGGTGCCACTAACCGCGTGATTACACCTCATTGTTCCTCCGCGGTATTTTTGCTTCTTTCGAGCCAGTCCTTAGGAGCGCCGTAATGAATCGAGGCTGAACTTAATTCCAGGCGCCTCGCTGTTGCGAGATCGATGTGGATCCCGATTTACGAGGATCGTCCCTTGTATTTCAGGAATTACCTCGGCAACCTTCGAGATAATTCCGTAATTTCGGACCGACGATGCGTGGCTTCGCGAAGGGAAAACTTCTTGCCGCCATTCCTGCCGGCGACGCGGTTCTTTTGCGAACATTCGAAGGCCAAGGAACCTTGTCCTAAATATTCCTTCCATGTTTGCTTCCTTCGATCGTCCTTATGGAGACTTCTGGAGAGGGAATTGGATTTCATCGCGTCGAGCGCCAAGTGCTTTCCTTTGTGCCGAGATTCGACACCCGGAGTTCCGGCTGCCATTCCACTGCTGACAAACACAAAATGCCCAGGGAATTTTGTAACGAAATATTGTGGGACCTATCGGCTATCGTAGCTCGCGTTACTGCTCGACACGATTGCCGCTATTTGACAAACAATCGACCCACGCGAGGAATACGCGGCCAGAAATCCTCGTAACTCAATCCCTTCGACGTCCGAAAGGAGACGCCGCCATCTTGGCGAACCTCTCCGCTGAAATTCTGCGCCCAATACTAATCATTACTCCCGATAAAAAGGAAATATATCCTCGAACAAATATAAAAACCCATTAACAAAGATAATTCAGTCGAAATATAACATACAGATTTTAGAGCGCATTTATCAGAGGAAAAGAGTGTGTAACAAAAAATCGATAAAAGTCCCTTCGACGTCCGAAATGAGGGGACGCTGACATCTTCGTTCTAATCAATTACAAAGTTTCCTCCAAATGAAAAAAGAAAGAAAAAGAAAAAACCCTTCGGAAAATGGCAAGAAGCCTTGGGGAAGATTTCTTCAATTTTAATATATGGCGGGCCCATTTTGGAGCGCATTTGTGAGGGGAGGAAAATGTCGAGAAAAAAGAAATTGATACGGCCCGGATTTGGGGACGGGGTCGAAAAAATGGGGTTTCGGCCCTCGGGAATCGTGCATCGGGATTCGTCCGGTGCAGCTCAATGGTAAAGTAGCTTCTGCTTCGCACAGGAGGGTTCCCTTGCGAGGGGAACCTCGAGGGGAATGGCTGCCGAGCTTCGAGTCAGTTCCTCCAGAGACTCCATCGGGTGCACCCGGCCTCTGTCTAATGTCAGTCAATCCCCGAGCTGTCAATTAGGCCCACTCCGAGGAAACCAGACCAGGTTGGCATTGACAGCGCGTCTTCGCGAGGTCCGATCGCCGAGTTAGTTCCTCGACGTTGTCATGATGTCGTACGATTATCCTCATCCGGTCTCCAGGACGTATCGATATCGAAAGGTCAGCATTTCCCGATAACTAGCCCCAATCTATATTTCTCTCTTTTTCTTTTTCAAGATCAAACCTCCTGACTATCTGTTAACTGCAGGAAGTGCTGTCACCGGTGCATGTGACCGTGATAACGCGTCCAAGGCTCCAAGATGACCTTATCGTCGGAATTTGGCCGGTTTAATTTCCCCATTCTGCCAAGCATGACATTTGGAAAGAAACCCTCTCCAGGAATTATTCCTTCTTCTGTCAGAAATCAAGAGAAATTCTAACAGATCCCTCGCACTCTCATGGCGTCCGGGAACTGAAAGAGATTTTCATGAAATTCCCCGAAAATCGATTTTTCCCTTCCGTTGCCTGCTCTCGAAATTAATTCTATTTATTATCCTTGACGGATAGTGTTATCAATGTGTGCACATCCTGGCCTGGATGTAAGAAACGGGCGTTTCTATTTTTATATGGACATAGCGTGGCGAAAGGTTCTTATTTATTACTATTTATTTTTCTTTAAACGAAAAGCAGGACGCGGCTTCGAAATGGCGATTGATTTCCGAACTCCGGGGCGAGTGAAAATGTTTTGTACCGTAAAACCCGGGGAAAGGAAAGGATAACTGAAATATATTAAGGGGCCGTCTCTCTTTATTCAGATCACCAAGCCTCTTTTGGAGAGGAAGCGGCGCGCTCGCATAAATCGCTGCCTGGAAGAACTAAAGGATCTCATGGTGGATGCCCTCGAGGTAAATGTAATTGCTAAATTACGGTAATAAAAAAATTACTATACTCGGGCTCGGGCCGATGTGTGCCGAGAAGTCGAAGCTCGGTTTACGCGTCTACGAGCCCTTCTTAACTCGCAATCATAAAACGATCGTTCCTTTAAGTGTCCGAAAAGAAGTGCTCGTTTTTTCGCCAACCGGGGAACGATTTCCGCCCCTAAATTTCACCCAGGGAACGGGCCCGTGCGATATTAATTTTCAGAGAGAAGGAAAAGAAAAAAAAGATGGAGGAGGAAACGTCAAATTAATTAATTAAATTTTATTCCCCGAGCGCTGGACTCGAGGAAGGATTCTGCGACGATCGAGGCACGTGCTCCTCCTCTCGCCTCGAATTTCAATGAACGCCATCGCGAAACGAAGCTGCACTTCCGGCTGCACCTTTAGCCGAGGCGTTTGCAGTTTGCGATCGACAATTCACCTGGGTTATGGCCGGCCGGAAGTGCATTCTGTCCCCGGGAAAAACCGTGAATGCGTCAGAATGGCGCGGCGGAATTGCCGACCGTCGCCGCCATCTTGGATCGAAAGCTCCATCTCTATCTCTTCTCCCCTCATAAATAAAAAAAAAATAAAATAAACGGAGCATGTACCCTGTCGGATAATAATTGTGAATGACAATCACAGTTACCGTTAACTTATCGCCGTGAAATTATTTCTCTATTAGTTTAAACTCGCGAGAGAAAAAAATTAACAACTCAAGATGGCCGCACGTCCCTCTGTTTACTCGTTGAGCGACGATCTCGTATCGGTACCCTTATTTCTTTTAAATATACGGCGCGAATCGATGATAGAGGACCGTTTTCAGGGTTTAGCCGGCGACTTTCTTAGTCGATTGGACAATAGGAGCGAGATCGACCTCAGAAAATGTCTGAGTTAAATGGGAACAAAGGGAGGTCGAAGCCACGAAGATTCGGTCCTTTCGAGATCGCCGAAGACGCCGGCGATAGATTAACGTTCCGAAGGAATGCCGGCGGAGCGAAATCGGCATCCCCCGGGTCGAGGGGTCTCCCCGAGGAGAGACATCCCCGATTAATCCCGGGATCGGCGTCGAGCGATCCCCGGGTATCGGCTCGGGATCGGACCTCGCGTTCCGCGGATTCCGCGCCGTCGGTTCTCTTTGCCCGACCCGGTGGAGTCGCTCGTGAAATTCCTTTCCGCGCCGGCGATTTCTCTCCAGCGGGCTTCCCGACCTCGGTTTTGTCTCGACCCGCGATAGGCCAGATCGGGCGAGATGACCGGTCTCGGGAGCGGACGTCCGAGACTCTCAGCAGCGCGCGAGGCCCTCGAACGGCGCACCGGAGTCGCGGGTCCGGAGACTATTAACGTGAATTTGTATAAAATAAAATTTCTCCAGATGAATTAAAATGGATTAACATGATTTAATATGATTTAACATAGTCTCGGAAGCGGGACGTCCGAAACTCTCGTCGCAGCGCGCGAGGCCCTCGAACGGCGCACCGGAGTCGCGGGTCCGGAGACTATTAACGTGAATTTGAATAAAATAAAATTTCTCCAGATGAATTAAAATGGATTAACACGATTTAATATGATTTAACATAGTCTCGGAAGCGGACGTCCGAGACTTTCAGCAGCGCGCGAGGCCCTCGAACGGCGCACTGGAGTCGCGGGTTCGGAGACTATTAACGTGAATTTGAATAATGGAAAATTGCCCCAGATGAATAAAAATGGATTAACATGATTTAACACGATTTAATGTGATTTAACACGATTTAACATACTCTCGGAAGCGGGACGTCCGAAATTCTCGTCGCAGCGCGCGAGGCCCTCGAACGACGCACTGGAGTCACGGGTCCAGAGACTATTAACGTGGATTCTAATGAAATAAAATTACTCAAGATGAATTAACACGATTTAACATGGTCCGTTTTTCCCTCCCCAGACCGAGGGCGAGAACATCAGCAAACTGGAGAAAGCCGACGTGCTGGAGCTGACGGTTCGCCATCTGCAGCGGCTGCAAGCGTCGCGTCCTTCCGGTCTTTCAGCCCAAGCCTCTCCTGGCGACGAATCCGCCGAAAGTAGATGGCAATCAGGATTCGGACACTGCGCAGCAGAAGCTTGCAGATTCCTCTCGGCACTTCCAGGAGAAGCCGCAGGCAGGCTGGCCAGACATCTCGCCCTGGACCTGAAATCCACCAGACGGGTAAATGCCAAACAAAAATGGAGTGATAAAAGTTGCCTAAACAAGAGAAAAAAAAAAATAGGAAGAAAAATACCATACCCTATACGATCCATTAATTATAACATAAAAGTTCTTCTTTACCTGCCAAAGCCTTGAAGAACGTGTTAACTAATTTGGGACAATTTTTTTAGGTGATGCCCAAACCCACCCTGACCAGCTCCGAGGTGCTGATGGACAGTACGGTCTCATCTTCGCTGAATTTACCAATCGAGGCATCGAGATCTCCAGATTTTGGGAGGATCTCTTCGCCGATGGGTCCATCGAACCTTCTAGAAGATGTTGAAAAGCCTTCCAGTCTGCTTCTCCCTCGTTCGAAAGGTCCTGGAGAAGAGGAAACTTCTGAGGGCGACGACTGCAGCCTCGCCGATGATGCTGTGGATCTTGGAGATAAAGTCAAGGAAGATGCCACCTCCTCTCAGGTTATTATGGAGGAGGAGGAGGAAATCGATGTGGAGCGGGTTGATGAAACCGATCCCATGTGGAGACCCTGGTAGCAATCGCACTTCAACTCCTGGGCGGTTTTAAATTGACTCTTGCACGAAACTGGTGATCAGCTGATTCCCTCGATCGAGCGTTATGGGAAGTGCCTAGAAACTATTTGTATATTTATATGCGCAGATTACCTGTATTTATGCTAAGGACGTTGAATATTTTGGTACTTGGCTTTAATTCCGTAGAGTAGACATTCCTTGTTATCTCAGTTACTGTTGGTAGACTGTTGTCTAGTGGTGATTTAAGCACGTACCCTGAAGAGTTTTATGATGACGAGTAGTGATACATGTTAATGAAGCTAAGTTGACGCAAAGTCTGGAAGTACCCTTAGTTTCTTTTTGTAAACTCAGCGCAGCATTCTGTCTTTTCTTCACTACTTTAGTGCCTGACTTGTAGCAGGCTTTACGAGTTATAATAATGTTGTCTTAAGACACTGGTTAGTTATTTTTAATGTATAGTTTATACGTCTCGTGGTAAACGCGAGGTCTATTTTACTCGAGTCGCACAAATCCGTATTTCGTAATAAGTCTGTGATAGAAGTAAGGATGAATTTAAAAGGATAAATGATGGCGCGGTGTACTGCGATCCTTTTATAACGGTCTTTCCTTTGAGTAATATGATTATCATGTAGTAATATGATAATATGATATTGGAAGTGAGAGAATTATACTTTTGCTGGTTAGTTTAATGTCTTGAGGCTGAGATTTTTGATAATTTTTGGAAATAAAATATGGGCGCTGTTCCGTGGCCAATTGTTGAACTAGAGAACGAATATACACGGCTTCTTGCCATGAGTTGGTAATTCGGTCAAGAAGAAATATCCTCGCTCGATAAAGTGGGTAACTGCAGCTTCGAATTATCATTTAAACTCTAAAGAGTGAAGATGTAATACATTACCCGAAAAATGTTAATACTTATGGGAGAATTTTTATTTTAACGTTACCGAAGAAAGAAGACTCGGATGGTAAGATTTCGGTTGACAAAATGGCGGCGGTTGAAGTAGGTTCGGTTTGGTGCCGGTAGATGGCAGGCACGGTCACTTCTCTTCTGCGAGATGGCGCCAGCAGCGCCTCTGAGGAGCTAGTTGGATGAAATAGAATTACCATTCTGGAAATCACTTAAACCGACATCTGTCGGAAACGACCAGAAGCCATGGGCAAATATGAAACGAAACTTCTCGTTTACCTATTTAGGAATACCTTCAGTGGAAAATGAACAGCTTACCGACGAATGGAAAAGAGGAACCGTAAAAGTCATTGCGACTCCTACAAATCCCAGATGGCCACCCATGTTTAACCGGCTTGCAAAGGATGGGAAGCTGGACGTAAGGCATACTTTATTGTCTTTGGATGACCTGGGAGGATGACGATCGAAAAGGGCCCGGCCACAGAAAAAAGGGCAAAGGAGCCCTTCGACGGCCATTCTCGATTGTCGAAGTCGGCCGACATTCATTCCCACTTTGTCATTTGCATTGTGCGACCCGGTGTTCGAAGCCACTCGAATTGCCGAGCCACAATGGCGACGCGGCGCGACAAAGACTTGACAGAGCCCGCGGCCATTTTGAGACGCGCCGACAAAAGCGCCGCCATCTTGATTTACCGCCGGTGCAATAGCCGGGGGATGATTGTTGGCAAACTGTAGAAGAGAATACGAAGGATGTACTACCGCATCCTTGCTAAAAATGGACGAAAGGACCCAAAACCCCGGACCAAAGTTTAAACACCTTCAACCACCGTTTGAACTTCCTAACCGCCGCCATTGCGCGTATAAACCGCGACTACCTCACGTTTCCTCTAAAAATGAATAATAAATTGGCATCGAGTTAAATCGTATGGGAAATGATTGGCAGGATACGGCATCACCATCGGCACGTTTCAATCTTTCGAAGCCGACCTCTCGTGGACGCCCCGATACACGGAGAAGAGTCCTGGGAGTAATGCAGAAAAAAATGGCGGCCATGGGTCCTTCGAGTGTGGAGGTTCCGCGGCGCGTCAAAGAGCGCTCATTAAATCCTGGCAATTAACCGGACCGAGCTGTTGGGCCAGGTCCCCACCGGAGTTTCGACTCAGGTGTAAATGTGGGCCCGCTTTCTTCGGGGCCCTCGGATCTTAATGGGTCCTGCCAACAGGAACGCCCGGCATGCGATCCATCGGCCCGAGACATTTTCCCATCCAGTACCCTCTGTCTTACGTCGTCGATTCTCGAATTCGACATCCACGTGTACATTCTCCTTTTCGCGAACAATAAAAAAACACGAGAAAAAAAAAAAGAAAAATCCAAAGGATTCTCTCAGAGATAAATCGTCCAGCGACGCCTCGACATGGTGGCCATAGGGCCCAACGTCGAGCAGTAGGTGGGTAAAGCCTGGCCTCTGTCCACCTAACTGACCTGTCACAATACGTCAATACATGAGTAATAGTCCGAGATCTCTGGAAACAGTGTCTTCCCCCAGGAGAGTCCTCGCGTCTCGCGAAAGGGTTGAATGGGAACAATTAGGATGACCAAGGGGCCCCAAGAGGGCGGAAGATTCCAGGACGCGTCCACCTATTTGGCGCCTTCCATTCGAGAAAACGTCCCCAGGGCTCGGCGACAATTGCAGCCAGTCGGGAAGGGCCTTAGAGGGGAACGGACCAATCGTGGGCCTCCTTTTAGAGCCACTGGGCCCAATTACCCATCGCCGTGTTCCCTATTCGAGGCCCCACCTGGGAGTCGCAAGGCGACTAGGGTCAGCCGATTGATCATCCGGACAACGGGTGATCGGTCGAGGCAAGTTCCTTGTTTGTTGGCCCTAGATTCCCTGCAAGGACCTCCATGTTATCCCCAGGTGAGACGGGGACCCCAGGAGGACGCAGGAATTGAGATCTCCTGCACAAGACGGAGCGTCCTCGGGAGAGTCGCGGAGACTTCAATGCCCGAATTGTCGGATCGAAGGAACTGGACACGCCCCAGCTGCCTAAAAGGATTCCCCCTAGAGTCCTTTGGGGAAAGGAGTATCGATAACGTTATCAATAGCCCAAAAAATGAGGATATCCCCGCGAATCCTGGCCGCGGGGACTTTTTTAACGCGACTCTCCGTCGCGGATTTATCGGCACTCGATTATATTTATTCCGGTTTAACGATCGACTCCTCGTTGGAACGACCGGCCGAGAGGATCGTAATACGTCGTTTGGAATTGCAGGATTTTCCACAGTGCATTAAACCCGACGCGTTTCTACGTCCCTTGGGACTTTCCTCCTTCCTTTTCGCTCCGGCCATCTTCTTTTCCCCGCGCAACCCGTCATCGCACCCTGCGTTTCCCAAACGGCGCGGATGGGCTACTTCCTCGGCGAGGTCTCGAGGATTTGTCGGTTTTTATCCCCGAGAGGCCGTTGCCGCGGTAATTTTCTCGTATAATCATTTTTATGCAGATCCTTTTAATGACCCTATCGCACTCGGGCTTTGCGCGGCCATCACGCGCCGTGGTGGCGTCACCAACCGGTAATGTTCTGCAATAAGGGGCCTTCTATTCTGGTAGATTAGAAAATGGCAGCAACGACCGTTTTCCGGCGAATCAATTATTCCTGCGTCGGGTTTACGTCTTTGGCCCCCTTAAGTGGGTCCCCTGCTTTCGAGTAATTAATAATTACGAGCCTTTCAGAGAGCCATAAACCGCGATAACCCGACCCGTGGAAACGGTCGAAGAGAACTCATCGAGCGTCCCGATTTCTTCGGAGATCTTCCCCTGGCTGGATATCTCCTTATTTTTTTTTTATTATTTACTAATATACCAATGATCGATATTTATTAATTGTCGACATCCCGGGACATTGTTTCTAAGATAATATTGGAACCAAAGCCTAAATTGAAATTCTTCGCGAAGAGACGCCGCCCGGTCGCGGGAGGTCGTCCCACCCTAAACCCGGATGTCTGCTCCTGGAGACGGGGAACCGGGATTTTTGCCATTCCCGTCCACGTCCGGGAATAAATCCCGTCCTCGTGGACATTGACGGGTGCCAAGAGGCGACTGCGTGGACACGCTGGGGATTTTTCCCGGAATTTATGTCCCTTCGCGGTTAGGACTCGCCGGCGATGCCGGCAGGGTCCTAATCGGACACGGCCAGGGTGTCCTCGTCATTACGAGATAATGCATATCTTAATGATTACGAAACGCGGCGAGGTGACAACCGGTGGAAGCCGCTTCGGGGGGCGAGAAAGCGAGAGGAAGAGAGGAGGGTCGAGAAAGCGAGTGCGGGGCTTGAATGGCGACGCTCCCCGGCGCCGGGTCCCTCGGGACGCCATGTTCCTGGTGCCGTCCCACGCTCCCGCAATCAACTCCTCATAAACTGCAATCACGACACGTGCTATCGCGAGACACGCGTGCACGCCGATGGGCACGCGTGAATGCCGGTGGCAAGCAACGCGGGGGCGAATCGGGCCTTTCAGCGCTCCTGGGCCCTAAAGCCCCGAATGTCCGATCGGGCCATGGGGAAATTCAGGCTCTGATAGTCCGATATGGACCTTTATGGATGCATGGAGTCGTCGGGACTTTGATGATCCTGGGTTTTGATGCTTTGATCTGGACCTCAAGGTTTTAATGATCCTGGGTCTGATGCTTTGATTCGGACCTCAAGGATTTGATGATCCTGGGTCCTGATTTTTTATTCTGATCTGGAAGCTTTAATGATCCTGGGTACGATGCTTTGATTTGGATTTCAAGACTTTGATGATCCTAGGTCCTGATTTTTTTTATATAGATCCGAAAGCTTCAATGATCCTGGATCTGATGCTTAGATTTGGACTTCAAGGTTTTCATGATCCTGGGTCCTGATTTTATTTTTTATCTGAAAGCTTTAATGATCCTGGGTCTGATGCTTTGATTTGGATTTTAAGGCTTTGATGATCCTGGGTCCTGATTTTTTTATTTAGATCCGAAAGCTTTAATGATCCTGGATCTGATGCTTTGATTTGGACTTCAAGGTTTTCATGATCCTGGGTCCTGATTTTATTTTTTATCTGAAAGCTTTAATGATCCTAGGTCTGATGCTTTGATTTGGATTTCAAGGCTTTGATGATCCTGGGTCCTGATTTTTTTATTTAGATCCGAAAGCTTTAATGATGCTTAGATTAGGATTTCAAGGATTTGATGATCCTGGGACCTGATAATCTTATATGGACTTGAAGGCTTTCATGATCCTGCGTCTTGACAGTCTCATTTGCCCAGATAATCGGATCCCATCCCAGCATCACTGGACCAGGAGTCCATCACCGATTCGCGGACTTACTCCAATTAATTGCAAGTTCCATCCGAGCTGCCCATCGCCATTCCAGTTTACTGCAAATAGTCCGGACTCGAGAAGACCATTCGGCGGCTGAACTCGCCGCGTCGAGTTAATTAACTCCGCGGCCACTTCATGGCCATTATTAATTATAATTAACGATCTGAACAGAATTGAACACGAACCCTCGCGAACGAGGTTGAGCGCTGCCCAACAAGCACGATCCCATCGACGAGGCACGCGATGAGATGGCAGCCATCATACACCTCGTCTTGTTCGAAAATCCATCGAATAAGGAAAAAAAATACTTCTCATCAATTATCCCTCCAAAAGTTGGAAAAATAGGAAATCCAAACTTCCCCCAGGACCCGAGCAACCACTTCACAGAAACAGCGCAGACCAAATAGATCTACAATATATGTATCTGAAGATAACCTGAATTTCATAGAATTTTGCAAAAGTCTCATTCCAAGTTAATAAATAAATTACGAGTACGCCAAGAAGTACATAACGAAGCTCAAAGAGCAAAGGAGGGCAATAGGGCATATTTGAGAATCCATCGAACCGCATGAAATAAAATTAAAAAAAATACCTCTCACGAATGATCTCACCGAGTCATAAAAAAATGGAGTCCTAAAATTCCTCTCGACAGGAGCAGCTCGGAAATACCTGGGAAAAAAAAATGTATCGAGGGTATGTTTCCTAAGATCAAGAAAATATCGTGGAATTTTGGAAAGGCCGCTTTTTAATTAAGAAATAAATCATTAATCAGTGATGTCGAGGCGTTCGCGGGAAGAGTAAACGCAGCTTTTAGTCGTAGTTTGCGATAACTGTCAATCATCTCGGTGATATCGAGTTGGTTTCTTGAACCATTGAATTTCGAGGTATCGGAGCCGTGTATAAAAAGCGAGTCAGAGGACGTAAAACGGGCTCGTTAAGGTGCTTATCGCGAGGCAGCGATAGGAGGTGCGAGAATCGATACGGCAATAGCAGATAGGAGTAGCGATTCGAAGGAGAAGCCTGGTTGCAGGCCGAGGTGGCACCGGGCGGAGCCTGTCGAGAGACCACCTCTTCAGGTTGTCCAAGGGTGGAGGGACCAGGTCTACCAACGCCGTCAGGCTTGGTAAAAGCAGGTCTTACCATCGCGGGCCCCTCGGCCTGGAAGGCGGAGCCTTTCTTCCAGCCTTAGAAAAAGATCGGCTCGGCTGCCGATCCTTGGCTCGATCAGTCCGAGTCGAGAGCCCGAACCTGACGCAGGTCCTTCGGGAAGATCGCTCTTCCTGCGGCGCGAAGTGCGACCTGGATATCCCGTCCAGCTCCCAACCCGCAAGGACCCACAAAGAAGCACCAACATAAGCGACCAATCCCAAAGAAATCCGGATCTGAGCGCCGCTCCCGAAGTAAGCCCGTAAAATTCCTGGACAGGAGGCGGTAGATGCCAGGAATCGCGCAGCTACCACTTGGCGAAGAGGAACCCTCCATCCAGCTATCAGGGGGTCGGATAACGACCGATCCTGGGGTCCAGGGGTACCGCCACTGATTCTGCCCCTGGTATCAGTGGCATTGATCCATTTCTTGCAATTTATTAACCCCGGAATTCGTCGTTATCCTGGGACCAAGCTGGAATTTCGCAGTCGGGTCCTGGAACGAAGTTCGGATTTCTTCGAGCCTTCTCTCGCCGACCGTCGCTGGGGTTGATCCTCGGTCGGTCCCGTTTCCATTGGGCTTTGGATCTTGTTTCAGGCCCTTTTGGGCCCGATCCTGGGAATTGATCGCGAAAGTGTTGAAGAAAGGACTTGGTCTGTTAAGTGCTGGACCGTAGATGGCTGTCAGCACGCTGAACATGGCTCCTTACTTCACTGGATACCCCTTCCAAGGTGATTATTTTAATAACTATCATTACTCTCTTTCTATTATTCCGTTCTAAACTGTTTACCATGTACTTAGTAGATAATGCGAGTCAATAACTGCATGGACAATTGAAACAGTCAGTTTTTGCGCCTCAACCGCCGATCGGGTCGCCAGCAACCGAGCGAAGGAAATTAATGATTCAAGGAAAACGATCACTATTCTGATTTCGTTTTCTTTTTTTTACCTTCAATTTAGTTTCTTTCCTGTCGTTTAGAAGTTCTCATGGTTTTTCAAATCCGGCGGTCCACTTTTAACGGGCAATATTTAAGGAATCGCGTCGACGGGTCCATTAGTCCGGCGGGCCGATAGAAGGGCCGCAACAAAAGGGGCCCGCGAGCCAATATCCATTGACCATTGACCGAATCTTGGGGCCCATAAATTCACGCTTCCCCAGGGCCCTCAATCTAGTTCCATTTAAGTGCCCACGTGCACTACGGCAATCAATCGTCAATTTGCATAAAACCCGCGTAACCAAAATGGCGCGTTCGCCACTTGGCTCGGAAATTCCTAGGCGACGCGCAGGAATGGATTGAAAAAATTAATAATAAATTCCTTGGTTCCTTGAGGTTCCTCGAGGTTCCTCGAAGGTCCTCGATAGGACACATGGACACCTGGAAGTCTAAAATTCGGGAATCCTGGACCACCTCTTTTTACCATACAAGAGGTCTCTTTCAGCGTTCTGCAGGGATCAGTCAGAAGAGTCCCTCGACTTTTTCGGTCCGCCGGTCACCGAGGTCCCTCCAAGTCATGGTTTCGAGGAAGAACGAGCCCGTAAAGTCTCGAGGCTTCGTGCCGAACCGCTTATAAAGCAGAACACCTCCCCTGTCATAAAACAATAACGTCGGGCCCATAAAGGAGGCCGCGAGTGCCTCGGAAGGTCCCGATCGCGGCTGGTGAGGTTATTTCGCGAAACTCTGGAAACCGAGGCTCTAGAAATCGCGGGAAAGCGATTAAAGACGTCGCTAAAAGCACTACGGACATTTTCCAAACACCTCCCGCAGTCCGTTTGGTTCTTTATCACCGAAAACCGGCGCCTTTGTCTCTTGGTGATAACGCTGGTTCCCCAGTTCTTGGGACTTTCTTGGTCCAATCAGCGGACGCCATTTTGTTATCCATGAAAGAATCGATCTACCATCTTGCGCGGATTTTCCAGAATATTTAATATTCATGTCCCTTTTTCTCCCTGATGACCATCTTCTATCGATAAGGACGATTTTTTAGACTCTTGCTCCGGGCCTCCCATTGGCGGAATTTTTCTCTGTATGGGGGAAATAGAGGTGTCGTAAGTCATCGTAGACGGGTCTTTTAGACTTTCGTCGCCGGATGGGAGTTAGGTTCAGGCCCCGTGTGGTGGGCGTCGAAACGGGGCCCTGCATCGGACGTGGAGTACGCACCTAATGTCTGATATCGGATCACCCTGGGGCGACGGCACGCTGATTGAAGCCCTCGCGACTCCAGACTCACACCGAGATGCGAATCGCTGCATAGGTGTGCATCTCGTCGTTACTCCCACACGGATCTACGTGTATCTGCATCTCTGGGCTCGGCCTCTTCGACCCTTCGAGTGTCCGCCGTTGTTCCGCCGCGTTTCGCCGTTCTTTGGTTCCGTTGCTCGTTCTTCGTCGCCGGGGAAGCGGAAGGTACCTGGGCGAAGAGGTCTGAAGAGGTTAGAAAAAAGTCTGAAGATGTTTGAAGAGGTTTGAAGGGGTTTCAGGAGGTCCAAGGTGGTTTCGTTCGACCTCACTAATGGGAGGTTCACCTTAACAACTCGTGACGCTCCTCGATAAGAAGCAGGGTCAACGATCGTTTTAATTTTGGAAAGACGGAAAACAAGAGCAACTCTTCGTTCCACTTCCGCTTCCTTCCCACGGATCGAGCCGTCGAGTCATTTTCTTAGATTAGTCGAGGACGGGCGTCGTTCCTTTGAATAATTGGCGCGCATCCCAGATCCAAGATGGCCGCCGCGGTATCTGCGTGCCATCGACGCGCGGAGATGCGAGGAGATTGCGCCTCAAAACGAGATGCGCATATCATCAGGGAGAGAGGAAACTTATCGGTAGGGAATTGCGCAAAAATCTGGTAATGACCCGGGTACACGTTCGAGAGCTCCTCGCGAAACCGTCGCTGGAAATTCAGGATAATTTCGGAGATTCTGGGCGAATCCGTGGCTATTTCCAGTCCGTCTTCAAGTCGGGCCCAAAGTTCTGCATAACATGGAGACATTTCCATTTCTTCAGGGAGTTTTCAATGTTAATTAAGAGCTGTACCACTCTTTCGAGCGGGAGCTCGACGGTACCAAGATGGCGGCCGCGGCGTCGGTGACTGGAAACGGGTCCAGAAGAGAAATTCCAGGATAACGCGTGTTGGACCATTTTCGCGAGAAATTCTCCAAGTCGGGCCCAAAGTTCGACATAACTTGGAGACGTTTCCATTTCTTTCGGGAGTTTTCAATCTTAATTAAGAGCTGTACCATTCTATCGAGCGGGAGCTCGACGGTATCAAGATGGCGGCGGTTGCCGGAAACGGGCCAGAGAAGGAATTCGACGAAGACCCTTTGCGCGAGGTTCAGGGATGCCAACCTGCGTCTCGGAACGCGCCAGGGGGTGTAATTGGCCGAGTGTAAAATATTCAAATACTCGGTAGGGCTTTTCCAGCCTGTTCGCGAGGAGTTTCGACACGGCGGGGCACGCCTCGAGGGGAAGAGGGCGCCCATTAACGACGGACATGCTCCCAGCGAATTCAAATCAGAGAACGTGTTCGAGGGCTATCGCGTCACATCGGGCCCAATCATGGGCATTAACATGATCGCTCACAATCAATCGCCCGTAATCAATAATTCATGCTCGAAATTATTTCCTCGATCATTTTATGCGGCACCTCGCCTGGGTCTGGGCTACAGGGTGGTCCGTTGTGGGCCCGTTGTGGGCCCGTTGCGGGCCCAGATACAAACTCGGGAGGGTACGTGCCCCGAATACAACCCCCTTGTCCCTCGAGTGGGCCCATTCCCCACCCCCAGGACCCACCCTGAATTTTCTCGAATCGATCTCGCGCTACCGAACCACCACTACAGCTCTCCGTCTTTCCGATTTCCGCGGCAATTTGTCGGTAATCGCACCTTGTAACGCGGGACCGCGTACGCACGGTGTTCTTGGACTACATTCCTCTAAGGTCGCGCGCCTTCCTTTCAGGTTAATTAATGGACGTTAAGCGGGGATAAATTTACTTGTACCTCGAGGATCGGCGAACAGCCTTCGATTGCCGGCCGATCGGGAAGAGGCTTGTCTCCACTTAGGTTATTTTTTTAATTGCGGCTCCTGGGCCCCTTTCTTTTTGCGAGCCGGTGCACGGAGATTATATTAAACGAGCGAGAAGTCCGGTACATATACGCGTGCATCTTAAAGAGCCGATTATGTCATTTCCGAAGCGCAGGAAAGTCGGAACGGGGCCCGTCTGTCCCAACCAGCGCCGACAACCGCGTCGCGCCTTTCCGGGAATCGAGAAATTTGTCGATGCCGATTTTCGGACGGCAAGATTCCTGGAAAAGTTAGCGTTGTTGGGAATAATTTTCCACTTTTTATCGCACGAGGGTGCACGGTGCATACGAGCAGTCGCGCCTTTCCAGGAATCGAGAAAATTGTCGCCGTCGATTTTCGGACGGCAAGATTCCTGGAAAATTTCCCGTTGTTGGGAATAATCCTGCACTTTTTATCACGCAAGGGTGCACGGTGCATACGAGCAGTCGCGCCTTTCCAGGAATCGAGAAAATTGTCGCCGTCGATTTTCGGACGGCAAGATTCCTGGAAAATTTCCCGTTGTTGGCAATAATCTTGCACTTTTTATCACGCGATGGTGCACGGTGCATACGAGCAGTAGTGCCTTTCCAGTAATCGAGAAAACTGTCGCCGTCGATTTTCGGACGGCAAGATTCCTGGAAAATTTCCCGTTGTTGGGAATAATTTCGCATTTAGTATCGCGAGAGTGCATGGTGCATACGAACAGTCGTAGGAGCACGAGTATAAATATATGAATTCCGCCTAAAGGTTAGTGCGAGCAGGCTATTTCGCTTTGGGTCCGCTCTGGGCCCACTCCTCGGGTCCGGCCGCGGCGAGTCGTGCGCGCGCACCGAGTGTGCGGCGGGCGGCTCCTTTTGATCTTGCCTGTAATCCCGTCGGGCCCCGCGGCCTGACTGACGTCATACCCGAGGTGTCCGCGGAGCGCGCGTGCGCACGACGCTCGTGGAAGAGCGCGTCGGTGTGTGCATGCGCTCGCAGACGCGGGCCCAGGTTGATTTCGATCCGCCATGTCGGGCCCAAAAGGTAGGGACCGCTGTTCGCCGGGAGAAAAGTCCGCTTTTCAAGAAGTATACCGATTGGGACCGATCAGGCCCCTCTCGAAAGTCCGCCTTCAAAGGAGTGCGATTTTTGTTTCGACTTTGGGCCCGATCTCGTTACCCCTCGTACACGGATCATCATTGCAGGGGAACTTCGTTATTTCAGTATTTACCGAACGGGCCCCGAAGTGCTGGTCGAAATTCCGCCATCTTAAGTCATGATAGTCACCGACTTGCGTACGTCTAATGCGAGGAACATGCAGAAACAATGGCGGCTTATCGTATCCAATTACCGGCAAACTCGTAAAAGTCGAAATCGCCGCGATAGGTCTGTCTCCATGAGGCCCAGGGACGGCGACTGAAAGCAGATCTGGCCTCGGAGGAAATTGGAAAAAAGCCCGGGAGTAAAAAAGAGACGAAAGGGAACGAGAGGCAGGCACGTTTCGGAAATAGCCCAGCCAGGATGAGTGCCTCTAGGCGATGATAATTAGACGCTAATGACTGCGGCGTTTAGGAGTTGTCGCGGGGCCTTATTTGGGCCCGAACATCACCCCGACCGAGTGTACGAGCTCGTGGACCCGATCCATGGATTCCAATTCGATGTAATCCCACGTAAAAACAACTACTCTCTCGTTCCTCGTTAACGGGCCCAAATTCCGGGCCCGTCGAGGTTTCAATTTCCGACCGCCGACCGAAAACGCTGGGCCCGTCGATGCAAATAAGTCGCGGGGCAAGGTAAATATGCGTAAACGCGTACCGGGGAGCTGCGTGGCTCATTGTCCCTTAAAAGGGGCCCATAGCGGTGCTTAACGCGCGTTTTAAGGCCCAGAGAAGCAACCGTCCCGGGCAGAGTCGACTCGCGCCAAGAAGAAGGGCCGCGGGTTTAGTGCTGGCAGCAAAACGCGGCCGTAACTCCTGTCGGGCCCCAAGACCGTCCGTCCTCGTAGGGCCCAACGTAAGGCCCATCGCGGACCTGGCCCACTCTTCGGCACCCACACGAGCGGCCTCGCGAGCTGCACGCGAGCTGCAACGCTCGGCCCATCTCATTCGCTTCTTTGCCCTTCGCCGGTCGTAGAATATTTGTTTGGCCTCCGTAAATATAATTAAGTTAATTAAGAGGGGACTAATTACCGGTAATTAGGGGCCCTACGAGCGGCACCTTGCGTGTCGCGGTTTTGTCCACCGCGCGGCGGGCTTTCGCTCCTTTATGTCCGCCATTTTGGTACCCAGGGTTCCGCTTTCCTGGAAGGTCCTTTCCTTCTCGTCCGTTTGGGCCCCTTGACCCTTCGACTGAGGGCCTTACCGATCTGCTTGCAGGTCAGGGACGCGTAAACCAGCTGGGCGGTGTCTTCATCAACGGCAGACCCTTGCCGAACCACATCAGGCTGAAGATCGTCGAACTGGCCGCCGCAGGGGTCAGGCCCTGCGTCATTTCTCGACAACTTCGGGTGTCTCATGGATGCGTCTCGAAGATCCTTAACCGCTATCAGGAGACCGGCTCTATCAGGCCCGGAGTGATCGGCGGCAGCAAACCTCGGGTGGCCACCCCGGAGGTTGAGGCCAGGATCGAGGACCTCAAGCGGCAGAACCCCGGGATCTTCAGCTGGGAGATCAGGGATAAGTTGATCAAGGTCCGTTGATATCTCCGCCGTTCTCCTCGCTCGATTATCGCCCCCCGACCCCAGACCTCCTGCCCACTTCTGGCCGGCCCGATATCCCGATCTCTGTACCAACTGGATAGCCGATACCCCACCAAATGGTGCGACGATTGGAAGATCGATGGACCGATCAATGTGGTAACGAAGAAAATTGATCTCGCACGGTGGATGCTCGACAATTATTTTTACAGCCCCTTTAAAACGGGAGAATCGAATAGTACCCACCATGCCCACGTGGGTTTTCAATTTCACTCTCCATATCCTACTTTTTATAAATCCGTGGTACCGGGTAAATCAAAATCGGCTATCCACTTGGTATAGAGATAATCCATTAACATCAGCAATGGTCATAGAGAATTAAATGCCTGGTGGAGGGGTGTTGAGCGTAAAGAGACGCGGCGCTCGGTCGTGGTCCATGATCTTGTCGGAGACGCAGCCTCTTCATCAGTGGCAGATTCTTCTCAGCCTTAGAGACTCGGATGCGTCGCAACCATGCGATGGTCCATACTTTTTATGGCAACCATTGATTGATATTCCTGATAACAACCATTTTATCATTCATATTTCTGGCAACCATTTAATAATCGATATTTCCGATGACTACCGATGGTCGATATTGACTGGTCCAATGTGGTTCTGCCAGCAGGACGGAGTCTGCGACAAGGCGTCGGCACCCTCGGTCTCCAGCATCTCCAGGCTCTTGCGAGGCCCCACGACCCAGGCACGACCTGGAGAGGACCCCCGGAGGAACCACTCGATCGACGGCATCCTGGGTGAGTCGGAAGAACCCCGTTGACTTTATCTCCCCCCGTTATCTCAGCTCGTGGGAGATAACCAGATTTTATCCCCGTTTCAACGCGCCAGGTCCCATCCGAGGACGAGGCCGAGGGTATCGGCGCGTTGACCATAATTACTGGTAGAGCCCGAAGGTGGTTAATTAAGTTAAGATAGCCAGGACGATAACTCTGCCGAAGATCTCGCTGGTATCTCGCGGAATACTCGACACCCATATGGATGTGTTGGTGGGACCTACATAAGGTGGTCCCCCGAGGAAGATGCATTCGTCTCGCCCTGGAGGCAAACTGGGCGGGGTGTACCAAGATTCCGGTACTAATTGAATCTATCCCCTAAACATGACATCCTGGGTAAGACCTACAGGGTCCTCCGTACATTTTTCTTCTTTCCTTTTTTCTCTCTAATTTCTCCTGGGTCCTGGCAGGATTATGGATTTCTATCGATGCAACGAAACGTAAGGGGTGAACGATGGCGTTTGATTAATTGGGGAAAGGTCTCGGGGTGGAAATTGAATAAGTCTTCAGGAATTGAACAAGAGGCGAGGCAGCCGCAAACAAGATGGCGGACGGTCCAGGGAAAAAGGACGGCCGAGACGGACGTGCAATTTACCGCTGGCCCCGAATTCGCGGCCCTAAGGCAAGCGGGAAGATTTAAATGGTTTTCGAAATATTACGGAAGGTCCTGGCTCGGACATGTAGATCCCGTCGGCTTTCGTAAAGGCGGTTACGTGGTCTTTTTGTATCAAGGCGACGGGGAAGAGCCGCGAAGAAATATTAGGCGTCCCGCCGCGCGGAGACGCGTCGAGTTTATTACCCTGTCGGATAGATTTAGCTTTGATTAGACATTCGGTCCAGATCGTAAGTATGGGGAGGAGAGAAACGAGGCTGGGGGCTTCAAAGTCAGATCCACGTGTCGTTTGGAGTTGACACCATCCGCGACTCTCATCTCTCTCTCTCGACCCTTTCATCGAATTTAGCTTGCCTTTCCGGTAATCCGATTTCGAAGTTGAATCTAAAGGGGCAAGAGTACAGAGGTTATTCCTTATTTGCTGTTCCTATCGCCTATTTCGGTACGCTCCGCAATAATTTCCCATAAAAATAGGCACGAGGGAAAAGGCAATTTGTTTCCTCTTTTTTAGTTCTGGTACCTAAAATCAAATTAATAGGCGAGGTCCATATATTTCTTGTTTCTGTGTAAAGGGTTCCTTTTGGGGATCTCTTTAGGGTCTTTCCCTGTGATGTTCCGTACTCCTTTCAGCGTCCTCCAGGGTGCTCCGCGGTCTGCAGCGAGGAGGCCGCGGGCGAGCGTCACTACGTAACCGGTGTGACTGTATTGCGGTAATGGCCGGACATAAGAGTACCTAACTATGATATGGTACCACCTTTGGTACCGTAACTACCGGGGGAATGCCTCCACGGGATGCTATTCGCCGTTTCTCCACGGAATGCTCGTGGAGGTGAAGCTAACCGCTCCTAAGCCGAGGACTGTCATCAGTAGTGCCCGCCAGGCCAGATGACTTACGTGTCGGGTCTCGGCCGTGGTTCTAGACAAGTACATTTGCGCGACTACCGAGGCGATGCCTCTTGACGTGGAGCTAGACATTCGTCTCGAAATTCCGACTCCGAGTCAAATTTCGAGGTTAGGAAGGGCTGCAGTCCAAGTGCGAAGACTGGAGGCGAGAGGAACGCCGCGCAGAAGCGACGGTTCCTTGCGTGTGGTCCGCGGCGGTTCGGCCGCGTGCCTCTAATTTGTCGGCACCGCCGAAGCGCCTCTCGTGGTCGGTCATTCATTTGGGAGGGAGCACTCTATTGATTTAGACGCCGGCTCCTTCGAGTCCTGCGGTTTCGCGATTGAGACGAGAGGCACCCCTCGCTTTGGGTCTGGGTGCAGCAGCGGGCTGAGCCCTTGAGAGATGACGCCAAGTGCAAGGCCAATGCCTGGAGGCAGTTGATGGGTTCTCCAGCTGATAGTAGATCCTGGTACCACCCTAAATCCTGCCATCTTCACCACAGCCCATCGACCATTGGCAAGATGAGATTAATAATTAAAACACCTGCCTCATTGTCGATCCAGGGACTATGGTAGCAGGAGTCCGGATGATCCACCCCCATTGGCGGAAACTGCGTCCATGGGGAGGAAACTTGGCTCCTGTCTGCGAAATTCGGCTCGGATGGAGGCAACCAGAGTCGGCGTGGCTTCCCGGGGACTCCTTCGGACAGCCGAGGGTAACGATTGCGTTGAAGGGAGCGAGTAAATCGTAAAGATCTGGGCATGGTCTGGACCAAGCGTCTCGAGGATTTACGGCGTGCGGCCGCTCTTTAATCTCGCGGGCCGCCGAGCACGGTGGTCGCCGATCCGGGAAGAGTCAGCTTTCCTCTCCAGTAGCTATTGATTTAGACATTGACTTCCACGCTGGATGGGTTTACGAGGAAGCGGCTTGGCTGGCATCGCGCGAACGGGGACCAGCGATGGACGTCCCCGGGATGGGCGTCGAGGATGGGCTTCTCGGATGGCTCCCGGTTTACGAGGGGCCGGAGAACGCGTTTAGGAGTTGGCTCCAGAGGCCGACGAACTCCCCAGATTGTGCGGTATTCCAGAAACCCTCGAATCCACCCCATAGTCGGGTAGTCAGGACCCCCCATGGCCCCGATATCGCAGTCGGGCCCAAATCGATGGGCCCTGTGCACCCAGGACCCCCAAATTCCCCAAGGATCCTTGCCAGGATCCTTCGTCCCCATCTTGACCCTAAGTCACTTTCTCGCCCTCCCAGGCTTGGACGGGACGTGTCAAAGAACTTAATTCCTCCGGCGGGCCCTAATTTCTCCGGTGTTTTAGTTTAGTATAGGTTAGGCCACGGCTGTAATCAGGAGGGATTTAATGGTGGGTTGCCGAGTCCGGCGTGTGAACTGTGGGCGGGAACGCTCGCTTCCTATCTTCGGTATCTGACGTCCAGCACGTGCTGGGGACTTGGGCCTGGTCTGGGACTCATGCTCCCCAGGACCCAGCTCCCACGTGCATTCCGCTCGACTACCGTTCCCCTGGGCCCAGCTCCCGTTGCCCCAGGTCTGGGAGTGGTGGGATTGCGACGGTCCCTTCCCTCCTCCAGGTCTTGCGACACTCCTAGAAAGTGACCTGGACCTCTGATACGTGCCTAGTGAAGTCCATCTCCATCGACAGAAATCCAAAGGACGACCCCATGACAGTTTTTTCTCACCAAGTTTTGACAAAAGCTCCAGACTTCTCCATTTGACAAGATCATTCGTTTCATCTTCCAGGAGGAAGCAGCGGGGACGATTCCGAGACCGAAAGCGAGCCTGGGATCACCCTGAAGAGGAAGCAGAGGAGGAGCAGGACCACCTTCACCGGGGAACAGCTGGAGCAGCTGGAGGCGGCTTTCCATAGGACCCAATACCCTGACGTGTACACCAGAGAGGAGCTGGCCCAGAAGTAGGTGCACCGTACATTTTTTGGAAGTCGAGGGTACTTTTTTGTCGTCGCAGGGTTTAAGACAACCTTTTCCTCCGGTGTCGCAGGACCAAGTTGACCGAAGCCAGGGTCCAAGTGTGGTTCAGCAACAGACGAGCCCGTCTTCGCAAGCAACTCACCAGCCAACAGTTGAATGCCTTCAACACCATGAGCTTGCAACCCTTTCAATCTCAGCATTATGCCAGCGGGGCTGAGAGCTATCAAGGATATGGACAGGCATCCGTGGCTGCTGCTGCTACCACTGCTGGGTACCCCCAACATTACAATTACGGGGACAATTACTACGCCGCCCAGCAACAATGGCCCAGGACCACCGCCGAGAACTATGGGTGAGTTCCGATGGACCATCTTCGCCGAAGGAAGATCCTCCGATAGAAGCTTCGTCTCCTTAGATCCTTAACCCAGACTCCAACAATCATCTCGAGAATCGGTACAATCGATTTCTTCTCCGTTGCTGGACCTCAAGTTTCCATTGTTACTCTCAGTTTATTTTTAATCCACTTTAGGAGGTTGTAGGTCGAACGCCAGGAAGGGATTCGATTTTAATACCACTTCTACTGCTCGGTAGAAATTTCTCCTGAATTATGTTGTCTTGCAAGATTGACCAATTAAACGAGGCAAAGTTGCGCGCCGATATCGGGAAAGACGGGATTTGCCAACAATGCGATTAGGGGTTGGTCCCACGCGATCGGCTACCGGGAATACGGCGTGAGCTCAGCCGACGTAATTTGCGCTTTCTCCGTCGGATTACATTCGGCCTATTTGCGAGGGTACGAATTACACCCACGCACGGCGATTCAGTGAGCGGGATCGCTCCGTTGATCGATCTCTCGAGAGGATCTAGCGAATCGAGTCGTAGACGCAGGACGGCTCCAGGAATAGGATCCGAGACAAAGATCCTATTCGAGGAAAATTCCTGGAAAAGTTGCGGGGCCCGGACCCCCCAGGAGCCCCGGGGCCCGAGTGCCTAGGTCCCGGACGTTATCCGGGACGTTTAAGACGGCAAACGAAGCCCCGACCTGGGCACGCCGGGTGTTTGGAACAATTAATTCAGGCATTGTGGAGTAATAATAGGTTGGGCCCCTCGCCACGATGCTCGGCATCCCAAGTGAGCCGATTCCAGCGGGGCCTTCGGGTACGGATCGGTGGTAGGGCCCCGCGCGGTGTGGTCCGCAATTATGTTGCTGGTCCGGTAATGAAACGCTACCGGCTAATAATCCACTCCAGTCCGGACTTGGGCTCGCGGACTTACCCAACTCGGAGCACGGATAAGTCCCATATACTCGGGGCCTTATCCTAGGGAATTTCGATTCCGCGCGCGTCCGCCTCTCCGCGGAAAACCGTCCTTCCGCGTTTCCCTGGGACCGTAGTCGAGCAATTACAAGAGAATTTCGCCCATCGCGAGGAGGTTTCGACGTCTCCCCCTTGAAAGGGGCCCCGCGGGGGGCGAAATGGGGCCCGATACGGCCCGACACGGCCCGACACGGCCCCACTTCGGACACCCATTAAGGGGCCCGCTCGGTCCTTCCGCGGGTCTCAGGCCCTCCGCTAGGGACCTGCCTCGGCCGGCGACACTCGGGGCCTTAAGGCCCCAGGTCCCGCTCAAAGGGGCCCGCCGTCGCGACGCGGAAAGGAACGCGCCGGTCCCTCGACACGCCCTTAACCGATTCCCGGGCAACTGTGCCGTATTGGGTATCGGTTTGCAGGCCTGCACCGCCGTTTGATTGCGCGGCGAAATCACCGAAATGTCCCTAGCGAATAGCGGCCGGCTACTTTGAAGGAGCCTCGGCTTCCTTTTGCAAACACGGCTCGATTTCGAGGTTAGCCCGCCGTGATTAGCCGCCATTTTGCCCGGCTTATCCGGGCTTAATAACCGAAATCGATCCGTCGACATTTTGCCCGGCAAGGGATCTCGCCGAAACGGGGAAACGCGTTACGCTTTTCGTTTCTCGGGTTTTTCTTTCTATATTTTTTTCTTTTTTTCTCATTCTTTTTCTTTCTTTACGACCGCCAGTATTACCGCGTTACTGCGACATTGGTAATCGGAGCCGAGTCGCGTTTACGCAATGAAGTCATATTTTATCTCGCGGCTCGTGGGTGTCGTAATTAAATAAACCATCGGTCGAGCCCCTTAATGGCCGCGCTAGGCCGTAACCCTTCCGGCACTAAATGCTGCTCTGGACGTCGCACCGAAAGTAGTGCGTGCACGTGCATAGTAATACAGTAATTGCGTTTCCGAGGCGGCTTCTACGAACCGATCGCACAAAAGAGATTAATGGGATAAAGAAACGTAAAGGGTTACGGTCCTTCGCGGGAGATTTCTTAAACTTTATTTTCCCTTTTTCTTTTTCATCGGTTTTAAGACTGTCGCCAAAATTGTCCTAGAAATTATAGTGATTTTCTCGAGGGGGGGTTCACTCATGAAAATTCATCTTTCGAGAAACGACATTTTTTATTTTATCTACACTTGACCAAGATCCCATTTTTTTTTTCTTTTTTTTTTCTGGTGAAAAATGAAATTTCACGAGCATCGCGTTCTTCCTTGGGACCTTTATGATAATGTACTAAGGATTCAAATGAGTCGGTGCACCCAGTTTGGAGAAAAGTTTGGTAAATATTTGGGCGTTTCGTACATATAGAATAACCCTTTCATGTCGCCTTAATGCTCGAGATCATGCTGGAAATCACCAAATCACTGGTCACAATATTAAGGCTTGTTACCCGATCGCATTGTTGTTTATCGTGTAAAATCAAGCGATCAGTTCTCAAAGGTGTAAATCATTTTCACTGATTCCCGAGGGAATAGATCGGGTTCCTGATCTTGCGATTCTTTTCATTTGCAGCCTCTTCAACGCCAGCCACTACGGGAGCGGAAATCTCGCCTCGAACCTAACTTCAACCAACCTGAATCTAGGGAGTTTGGGGGGCAGCGTGAGCCCTAGTGCCTCCAACATGAGTGCCTGCATGGTGCAGGGGGCTCCAGCAGGGGTACCAACTTCAGGAATGGGGCACCACGTCACCCCCCATAGTCCCAGCGAGGCCAAAAGCGGATATCCCTATCTGGGGGGAATCGACTCCCAAGTATGCGGCAGGGTCCACTGAAGTCCCTAGATCGTGAAGTCGACATCAAGATTCAAGCAATTCGGGACGATTAAAACCTCCCTAGACCCCGCCTCCTAGATCTCCTCTCCTCTAGGACTCCCAAGTTCCGACTAGGAGATTAATCTCTGGGGGGAAAGTCGCTCCTAGGGACTTTCGAGTTACCCGGAGAACTAGTTCGCCGGGTTCAGTTTTTGTCCCAGGGCCTGATCGATTCGCTTTACCCGACGACATTAATGACTATTTATACACGTGGAATATCAGCCTCGGCCATCGCCGGCGACGGTGATCCTAGGGAAATCGCGCGCTCCTAGGGTCCCTAGGTGGCCGCGATTGCCGCTAATCCCTGGTCGGTCCGTCCGGGATGGAGAGATCTTAGCTTCGCCTTTTCGTCATGCTTAACCGCATATCGACGCGTATATAAATATATATAAATATATATAGAAATATAGAAATATGTATATGGTGAATAGTCACCAGCAAAGCGTCGAACTAAGCATGTATATAGCTGAGCATGTCCATGTTGGATGGGGAACCATAAGAAAAAAAGCGCCCCGGCATTCCGACTAACCCAATTATTTAATTGGCCTGTGTTGTACATTGTACCTGTATATAGCATGTATGTAAAGTTAGGTTATGTCGTATGGATCCAAGTTTTATATATAGTGCACATAGAGTAACTATTCGCTGACTTCGCATACCCACTTCCGACCTGTACGATTGAGCGTCACGCAATAAAGTGTTCGTTTCTAAATCCCTTCCTCTGGTGTTTTATTGCGGGATGAAAAATCCTGGGGGATTTTGAAAGAGAGGAAGAAGTGGATTTAATAGAAATTTTATAGCAATCGGTTCCTTGTGGGGGAATTTGCAGAAGAGGAGGCCTTCTTTTGAAGATCCGAGGGGGTAGGTCTTTGGGCCTTAGGCCGCCCCCGCAATCCGCGCCGGATTGGGCCCGGAATAATGGCGGGCCCACAATGGGATATCCGCGAATCGGAAGGCGGACACACGTATGGTTACGCACAGGGAAGGAAGGCAATCAGGATGCCGTATATCTAGGGACCCTGTCGCCACGCATTTGTGTCCCATTGTGTCGCCGAAGGAGGCGGTTGGGCCCGCTGGAACGACGCCCGGCGTTTGTCTTTGGGCCCGACTCGTCAAAAAGCGCCGCCGGATTTCCCGAAATCGAGCTCGGGCCCCGTAGGTCCCGGAATCGCCTATTCGACACCCCTCGGGCCCACCCGAAGAACAAACGATCGTCGCTTTTACGACACCATATATCTCGCGGTACCACGAGGGCGACGCCATTTTACGCAACCGCGTTTCGTGTGGGGCCTTGACCTACCGCACCGGGAAAAGGGCCCAAATTGAGGGTTGGATCGACGCGGGGTGGAGGGCCTCAAAGGGGCCGCCTCGCCCGGTGCTCGGGTGAGGCCCGTAAGGCCCACGGGGTTGGAAAATGGGCGTGGGGACCGTTCAATGGCGAATCATGGGACTCAACGAGGCCGATATGTGGGGTCTGGTCAGGCCCCGAGAAAGCGCGGATTAACTCTCCCATGCTCGACATTTTTATCCCTGGCCCAGATCCTTCCTCAAAGGGCCCAAACCAGGGCGCGTCCTTTCGCGGGAATTCCGCGCAAGGACCTGGAGAGGACGTCGTTACCCGGAGGGAATTAAAGGACTAATTCTACGGTGGGTATTTATTAACGAAGGAGGAAGGACTCTCGGCACTTTACCTATAAGGCCCACACGTGGGGCCTGACCCGGAGTCGCCGTCCTGCGGATTAACTCCCGTCGCCGACGTTTTTATTCCTCGCTCCAGATCCTCCTTTTTCATCCGCTCCTCGTATTTACGAGCGTTGAACTTTTAAATAAAAAATCAAACGGTTACCGCCACATTGGTCCCTTTTCATTCCTGGAGTCCTTCGGGATTACGGTTTGCGGAAACGCCGCGGCGAGCAAAGGGATTCGAGAATCGTTAAAACTGGCCATTTTAGCTAATTTCTGCGTTTCTTTGCGCCCCGGCGGGGGAAACGAACGCCAACATGGCGGCCCCATCTTGACCGTTCAATCGCCCCTTTCAGCTCCCTGCTTTTGTTCTTCCCCCCGATTTTTCAGTTCTCGAGGCACACTTCGAAGTCGGCTGCCGATGTCGGTAGTCCTTTGGCTGCTGTGAGGCGAACAGATGCATCGGCAACGTCCAAAGCTGATATCCGTGACGACCTCCCAGATTTAGGCTGCAACCCCCAACGAGGGTCGGGGACCAGCCAGGAAGTTTTCGCCTCTACATCCCGGTGTTCGCGTGGGAAACGAGAAATGACCGATAAATCAGTACCGAACCGCTCAACCCTCTTATCAAACTTCGACCTATTGCCCCCTTCCCTCTAAAAGTAAAAGATGAATTAAAAACCTTGCCAAGACGTTATCTCAATAGCCCAGTCAACGAACCAGAGTACCATCGGCACCAAATTCTGAATTTTTTTTTTTTAACGAAAGTGCTATTATTATCATTACTTAATCTCAGTACATATCGATCAGCAATTTTCCATTTCTCAGGGAACTTTATCGACGTCCCAGGTGTGCCTTTCCATTTCGCTGCAGCCGTATCGCGAAGGTGACAAACGTTATCAGCACGATGTTATAAATTTTTTTAAAACGGCTGTGCCATTATTATTATTCCTTAATTTTAGTACATATCGATCAGCAATTTTCCATTTCTCAGGGAACTTTATCGACGTCCCTGGAGTCTGAATTTACCGTCCCAGGTGTGCCTTCCATTTCGCTGCTGCCGGATCGCGAAGGTGACAAACGTCTCTTCGATGACAGGGGCACAAATCATCGGTGGGTTAAGTACACAAAATGGCCCGATACGAAACGGCACAACCAGTTCGGGCAGAAACATGGCCGCCAATTCGATGACAATGTCCCCCTTTAAAGCAGGGTGGAATCCGGCCAATGGGAGCGAGTCGGGGTGTCCGGGAACAATGAACCACCCTGTAGATTAATCAAACCTAACCGAGCCAATGAGAGCCGTGCAAATCCCGAAAGGGGGACGATGGCATTATAAAATGGTAAAAGAAACCAGGGAGCACGAAACAGTCGTGACGTCGAAAGTACTCGAAAATCTATACAACCGGGACCGCCGCCATCTTGGTTGCGGTGGCATTTTAAAAAGTTTAATTAAAGTTAAGTTTAATTAGCGATAAAATCGATCAGGAAATTTAGGTTGAGAATGGAGGTGCAAGAAGGCGAAAGGAGGTGAAAGGACGTGGAAAAGCCGATCTTGAAACTTCCCCCGGGATTTTTCCTCGCCGTTGTTTGTCGCCGACACCGGCCGCACCCCGCCATTTGGAGGTTAGGGTGCCGCTCGTCGTATAGGTTTGCAAAGATCGACAAATCCGGCGTGATGCGCGACCAATCAGCGCCGGCGTGGCCAGCTGGCGACGCCGACGCCAACGCCATGAAGCGTCCTGGTGCACCCTGGTACCCCCGAACCCCATAGAAGTCCCGATACCCCTGGAACCCCCAGGTTCATTCATCACGACCCTGGTTATGGGTTCCAGGGCCCCAGAGCAGAACCCACGGCCCCTTCGACCCCGCGAGGGGGGCTGCGATCCGATCCGCCATCTTGGACTAAACGTCCGTTAAAATCTGATTGCATCGCGTCTTTTAGGGATCCGATAGGGATGTTGCGCTCGTTTGTACGTTTCCGGCCTTTAACCGCGTTTTAGACATGCCTTGGGGTATGTTGACCTTGCCCAACCAGTCGATTGGAGGAGCTGAAGGGTTTTCGAGGTTAGGTTAGGAGGCGACCTAGGATATGGAGATTATTCACGAGAGGTCGGATCACTTTTTCTATTATCTCCAGGGTAGGGAAATGATCTTCAGCGAGGGGGTTTACCGATCGCGAAAGGTGCAAACAGGACTCGTCGCCAAGGATTCATTTAGTGGGGAAGGTCAGGGTAACTCAGAGAAATACGTGGTTTGTCGTTGGTAAACCTGCTCCGTGGTTTTTTGAAGAAGACGTCGTCAATTGGGCTTCTCGGCCGAATTCCCTGACCGTGGTAATCGATGCGTGCCGCGATTGGCGCCGTTATAAAAATGGCGTTTAACCCGCAGGGGCCAACGTGGCCAATCGGATTTCACGAGGACGATTCGATCGGGCCTGCATAAATGACCTAATCAAATTTTCCACCGAAGCCGAGCCGGAATTCCCGCCGTAAGCAGCCATGTCACCACGCGTTAGGAACTTAGTTCTGCCCAAAAGGTCCTGGACGCCCTGCCAATTGTCCCTAGATTCCGTTTAACGCCCTGTCGGTAGACTCGACATCTCAAGGTTCTGTTTCCAGGACGAATCCGCGTTTTGGGGAAGAAAGGATCCGCGGGAATGCGGATTGGGAAGAGTCAGCCACCGGAAGAAGCGACACCAGTCGGGGCCAGATTATCGTGGGACCCTCTTCAAGGGCTCAAAATATCCGTGCCACCCTGGTGCTTCTAATCTCGTCAGAGCCGACCCTGTCCGACTGGTGAAACAATGGGGAGATCCTCTTAGAAAGTCGAGGTGAGCGTCAATGGCGCGCGAGGAGTTCGCAGGCGTCCCGCGAGTGGCGCTCGCGGCGACGGAAAGGCACTCTGGGGCGAAAATCCGAAGACGGGACAGAACCCAAAGCTGGGATCACCGAGTTGACGAGCATGTGCAAACAAGCCGTTTTCTGGGCGGTGCGGCTTAAGCGTTTAAGTTGCAGATCCTGGGGATTAACCCAGTAAAGGGGTCCTCGCGGCTCCTTCGGGAGGACCTGCTGAGATTAGCCGCGATTCCTGTCAAAATGGTGACCCTTGTGGTGACAGAGGGTGCAATGATTCGAAGGTAATTCCCCACTTCCTTGGAAACCGGCCAGGGGGACTTGGGCCCAATCTTCGGAATCTTCACGATCCCTGCAAACACCTCCAATGCCCAATTGTTCCTGAGAAAATTTAATAACTAAAATTTCTGAAACCAATCCTTTCGTTCTAGGACTCTGAAGTCGACTTCAAGATGGAGATCTCGGCGCAAGAAGTCGTCCTTTGACGAAATAATCTCCGGGTTTGGCTTTAGCATGAAAAATGCAAGGATAAGGCCCCGACCAGGGGCCAGCTTAGTCGCGTAAATAAACAACGGTTTAAAAAGTCAGGATTGGTCGGGTTAAAGGAGTTAGACTCGGACTCGCGGATTAGTCCTTAAGTCCGGACTTAGGGCTCGCCAGGACCTCGGAGATCTCGCA